CTTTTTGATTGCCCAGGAAAAAATAACCTCCAACAGACCCAGGAGGCAGCAAAGGAGGAATCAGGATCAGGAAGATTTTTGTTCCAGGATTCAGCTTTTCTCTCACTCTGTGCTGACATTGCAGTTTTCCAAACACAAGGAATCTGGCTGTGGAATATGAAGTAGGGGAGGACTATCCTTGTATTCCCCTTGGAAACAAAACAAGGTGGTGGCAATAGGAAATGCTGTTTAGGGAGAGTGTGTGAGGCTTTTGCTTTCTGCAGTTTATGTCTCTGCTGTGCCACCTCATCCAGAATTGTTCCTGTAGGGATTCTGGTGGGAATGGCCCAGTCTGGTCACTTTAGGGACCTGCTGAGCTTGAATTCTTCTCATTCCCATCTGAACCTTTCAGTAACTGGGCTCTGTGATCTGACACATTCTTGCACACAGAGAACTATTCCTAAAGGGGCAGCAAACAACCAGCAGTGCAATGAGAAGGCACTGATTTTGTTCAAAGCAGAATGGTTGTATTTTTAAATTGTATGTGAATAAATTCAACTAAAGGCATGAAGTGGTTTTGTAAATATGCATACTGACTTTTTACAGCAGTGTAATATCAGCCCAGGAGACTGCAAATATGACTTGGGGGAGCAGTAGTAGGAATTAGATCTGAATCAGGCAGAAGATGTTTATGTGCTTTAGTTTTAAGACTGCAATAATTTTAGGAGTTGTGTTTGTGAAGGGTCAGAGCTCTTGGAGTAACTCATGGACCAGAGGAGAAAACTTTCCAGGTTCAAAATTCCAAGTTACTTTCTCTAAACTCAAAACACTTGAGGAATAATTCATGAGCTGTGCCAGCTTGGCCACAGTGGCATGAACAAGAGGATGAAACAGATATTTAAGAAATGCTGCTCAGACTGTTTCAAACATGGTACTTCTTGTGGTGAGTTTGTCTTTCTCCCAGGAAAGTGAAGTTACTGTGTTGTGGTGGCCTTGGGAATATATTTTCCATTTAGCTTTTCTACAGAAGGGATTTTGTATTTTGGTCATGTCACCTTGTCTTGATGGGATGGTCAGAATTTGATTTTTAGATACCTACTGTTGATGCCACAGGGATTGCTGATGGGTTCTAGATCCCTGTGAGATTTTTCAGCAGTTATCTATTCTACAAACCCCTTTTAGAATATTTACTCTTTATCTGTTAGTCTGAATGTATTTTGCAAAGTACCTCTAATTCAGCACAACTAACAAATGATGCTTAGAAATGCATTGGCATTGCCAGGCATTTTCCAACAGTATTTAGCCTGTTAATGGTGTTAACAAAGTTAAATATTAATCTTTTCATATGAAATGTTTTGAAGAAATTGTGCATGACCCGTAGTGGGTGATGATGGGTTAAAATAATTGGCTTAGTTTATTATCCAAACAAACCATGGGTGGTGTTCCAGCCCCAGAGAACCCTGCCCAGAGTCAGGCTGGTGTGTCTGCCCACAGCAAGCAGGGATTAAACACTGTCCTGACTCCATTCAGACATTGTGCTGCTCTCTTCTGGAATATCCTTTTTGTTTCTGCATCAAAGGGATGGACAACTTGCTTCTCTCCATGGAGACATTGCATCTGTTCCCTGGGAGTTGTGAGCAGGGATGTTGGCAAATGTTCCTTCCTTAAATTGTCATCACTGTTTCAAATATTTTACTTTTAATTCTGGCACTACCTGTGCTGAGGAGGGAGAGAGTTGTGGCCACGAGCTCATCAGGTTTAACTAAGCTCAAAGAACAGCTGGACTTAATGATTTTAGACATCTTTTCCAGTCTAAACTATTGCGATTCTATTGCTACTCTTATTTTCTTGTCATGACTTTAGTGCTAAGTAGATTAGACTTTAACTTTTCTCCCTATTTTCTTATTTAATTATATTTTAGTTGGTTTTGGAGTGCTAGTTGTTGAAAATAGTCTTGAAAGAAAGGTTGGACAGCTGCTTTCTTTTTATTATAGGAATTCCTTTTGTAGCAGTTGGGAAATACTCTGCTTTTATAACCCAAGCTTGTGTGGTTACATTTTGTTTATTTATTTTTGATATCAACTTGCCAACAGAATTCATATCTGTTATCACATTAGTAGGATTTATTTACTTACACCAATGGTTCTCAACCTGTTGCTTATGGATTGCTTTGATCTGTGCACTTAGAGGTCTGTAGAAGGTAGAAAAGAATATTATTAATCAGCTAAGGGGCCAGTACAAGGATTCTTGTCTGCATTGGGTAATTTTTGATAGTTAACACACACAAAAAAAATAGCAATTAATTTGAGACTTTAGCATTTTCATGTTGTGTGAAATCCTGTATTTCCAATAATGGCACAACTGTAAAACCTGTGTTTAAAGTCTTTGTATGCTCAGTTACTAATTGGTAGAGCTGTAGTGGAATATTTTATCAGAGTCTTTCTGGACCTTTCCTTAGGTTCCTGAGAGGATATTTTGAACCATTTACAGTTCATACTTTGCCTGTTGGTTATAAAGATCCTTTTTCAGGAGAGCTGAAGGAGGGAAAGGGAAGGAATGGGGACAAGTAGGGAGCTGCTCTGTTTGAACTAAAATGAGATCATTGACATCTGGGGCCTGTTAGGAAATGCTGGAGTGTGTAATTCTTAGAACCACTTGATGCAAATTTCTGTGCTTTCAGTGTTTGATAAGCTCCATGAGGCAATGCTGCTGTGAAGGTCCTTCCCTGAGACCCAAAGTTGCTTTTGAACTATGGAAATAAGGGAGTCATTTACCAAAATGTGTTGCCTATAATTTTAGCTTTTATTTTGTTGGAATTAAGCTACAATTTCAGCAACTCTGAAACCAGGGCACAGGGATTGTGTTACTTCTGGCCTAGTTGAAGGCCTGGTGTTGAGAAGAGCAAATGACACAGCAAATATATAACCCATGACTGGGGAGGGCAAGATTAAAACATGAATGAGTTCCCTGAGCCAAGAAACGCAGTGTTAGAACCTTCTAACTTTTTGTTGAGCAGAGGCTTGTTAATAAATATTAATAAATAATTGCCTGAAACTGGAAAAATGTAATTTTGGGTGGTAATTTAGTGTGTGTTTTCTTGTGATATACCTGTCCTTGCTCAGTGTAGATGGTTATTACCTATGTGGTGCTGGAATGCTCTTTTTGGGCAAAAAAAGAGTTAGAGTATGGAAAAGAATGTCAGCATGCTCTAGGACAGTTCCAGCTTCCTGGCTTTAGGAGAAGTCTTCCTTAAGGGAGCCCAAATTTCCATCAATTTAGTGTTTGGCACTGACAGAAAAGACCATGAACTAAAAAGACCTGACCTTGATGCTTCTTGTTTGTCTGTGTTTGTGCCAAATCCTTCTTTATCGTGTGCGGTTTTTCCGCTCCATGGATTTGGATGGGTTGAGGAATGTAAGGGAGGCATGGAAAGCCTGGCTTTGGAAGGAACAGGGCCTGCAGCCTGAGGAAGGACAGGTAGAGAGCACATGTATGAGGTAAAAGAAGTCCTTGGCATGTAAGAGCAGAGTACAATTTTAGAAGATTTCTAAAACAAAACGTAAGGAAATATGATGCTTTCAGACTATCATTTTCATGGAGCAGAACTGGAATTGTAGACAAACACAAGGTTAAAATATAACAAACATTACTGGAGCCTTAGAAAATGCCTTGAATTTGGCATGTCAGGTGTTGAAACAGCATAAGGAATGTTCCTCTTTGGTGCTGAGGTTCCCAAAGCAGAGTGTGCCTGACACTTCCTTTCCACAGTGAATTGATTTTTACAAACCCTGTTAATAATACACGAGGGGACAGCTCAGACTGGCAGTAAAGACAGGCTTGGTTTATCCCCTGAGTCTTCCTGCTGCTCCTTCAGTCAGGTTCGTTTTCCCTTTAACCATTCTGTGCTCCCAGCCTGCACCTCTGGGCACTGGGAATGATGGTTTGGGAATTGTGCAGCTGCCCAGCTTTGTGCTCTGACAGGTGCCAAAACGCTGAGTAAAGGGCAGGACCGAGCCCTGCTTTGTAGTTCTTGTTTGTCGTGTTCTGAACAAACAGTCGAGCAAACTGTGTTCCTTTTTTCCCCTGCAGGTCTTTGTGGAGGTGCTGTTTCAGTGGCACTGCTGTTCTGGCAGTGTCTTAGAGAAAACTCAGCAAACAGCCAAGCTGCTCATGCAGAACATTTATTCTTTTGAAGATGGGGCAGAACTGTTGCCTTGAAGTTCAGCTTTGAATTCACAGCGAGGAAAAAAAATACAGATTTTTCGCTTTAGGTGAAAAAGGCTTTCTGAAGCCTCTGTGATCAGAGGGAAGATGCTTCTGTGGCAGCACATAGTTCCCTGAAAAGCTTTTAGCTGGCTTCCAAGTTGGAGCAGGGCTCTGTCCCAGCAATGTTGGGAAGAGTCCCTCCTCCTCAGAGCTGGGGACTGGGAGCCAGAGGATCTTGTGATCTGAGCTCACACAGCTGAGCTGGTGTTTGCTTTCCACTTGTCATCATCCAGCTCTTGATCAATTTTAGCTTTTCAGTTCCAATCTCACATAAAAACCTTACTCTTTTTATCCTGCAGTTCTTGATTCCCTTGATTTCCATTGCAGTTCTCCACTCTCCAGTTGGTTTTGCTGGGATATTGCAACACTTGAAAAAAAGAGGACTTTAAAGTCAGTGTGTGGAGTGATTAAATCTATGTGTAATGTTAGTTATGCTGTTAAGGGCTCTGTTTTTCCTTCTTAAAAAGGAAAAGCAGTTTTAGTTTAAATCTCAAGATGAGATATAAACTACTTTTAGTTTGAATCTCACGATGGAAACAGCACCACTCAGAGAAGTGAGTTATTTTGATGCTTTCAGTTCAGACTTGGCGTGTTTTAATAGGAAATGGCCTTCAAAAGATACATTTAAAATGCTTTGGTTGTTACTGTAAAGCAGCTTTATAATGCATTTCATACACAGACTTTGTGTATGTGGAAATTCCTTCTGCAGGAGTTCAAATACTGATTTTTATGTCATGTCTATTTTTTATATACAGGTTTATTCCAGAGTTGAAAAAGCTTGAAGAATATATTTTATCCATGTTTGGGAAAAGATAGTTGCTACAGACAAGGGGGAGAAACGCTGGGATTGATAAAAAGATGAGTATGTTAAAACCAAGTGGACTTAAGGCTCCTTCAAAGACCATCAAGCACGGGGGTACATTGCTGAAAACACCTACACCTGTTGCAGCTGGTAAGGAATAGTCAACTATCTGAATTTTCCCCTTATCTTCTAAAAAAAAGTAGCTTGAATGCTGTGAGAATACTCTGGTTTTACTCATTACACCAAGGGGTTTTTGCTTGTATTTATGGTCTGAAAAATTAAATGTACAATTTGCAAAAAACTCTGAATTTACTAATTAACTGTGATCAAGCTGTCCCTGAGGAAACCTTGTCATGGTAAAAATACTTGGGTAATTTTTGAGGTGAGACTTGTGACTTCCACAAGATTTTTACCAAAACCTTCATTAAATGCATGCAGTGTCTCTGTCCTTAGATTTTGAATTACTGCATTCCAGAGTTTTCATAAGAAAATTTGGATTTGTGCTCTCCCTGCTTTTCCAAATGCGTTGACACTGAGTAACGATGCTCTTTGGAATCTCAGTGTGTTTGACTCCTATTGTTTCTCCTGGTTCCAGCTGCAGCAGAAAAGGCAGTTCCCAGTGAGAAGCCCCCAGGCCCAGCCCCTGCAGATGCCCACGAGGAGTTTGTGGACGATTTCAGGGTCGGGGAGCGCGTTTGGGTCAACGGGAACAAACCCGGCTTCATCCAGTTCCTTGGAGAAACCCAGTTCGCTCCAGGGCAGTGGGCAGGGATTGTCCTGGACGAGCCCATCGGGAAGAACGACGGCTCCGTGGCCGGGGTTCGCTATTTCCAGTGTGAGCCCTTGAGGGGAATATTTACCAGACCATCCAAGCTGACCAGGAAGGTTTTGGCAGAAGATGAAGCCAACGGTACCCAGACCTCCCACCCTTCCAGAGCCACCTCCCCCACGTCCACATCAGCTGCCAGCGCCGTGTCTTCGGCTGCTGCTGCGCTTCCCCCGTCAGGAATTCCCCAGAAAACCTCCCCGCTTGCTGCTAAGGAACATGCGACTCCTGCTCAGATGAGCAATCTTTCCAAGACTGCCAGTGAATCCATATCAAACCTCTCCGAGGCCGGGTCGCTCAAGAAAGGAGAAAGGGAGCTCAAAATTGGAGATCGAGTTCTGGTAAGATTCCCCTGCAGATTCCCCTGCAGCCTCTGGCTCTGCTTTGCTTTGGTTCGTTGTCATTTCGGCTGATAGTCAAAACTTTCCTGCTGGTTCCTGGTCAAGGTGCTGGAAATTTATGCTCTGGTTTTCTTTTCTGTAGTGTCTGCTGTGAACAAGCTCTTTGCCCGCTGGAGGAAGGTCTTTGCAATACCAAGAGAAAATGATTAATTTGGCAGTTTTTAATCTGTTGTGGTTTTGAGTATTTAACAACATATTTGTAGCTTATCTCTCCATATCTTCAAGAACAACATGCTAAATAATAAACCAAGCATGTGAGGCTTCCATGCAGCTCTTTTGCCCTGTCCAGGGTCATGTCTTTAGAAAGCAAAGAGGTCAATAATTGATTGTTCCTCAGTGGTGATGGGCAGCAACAGGAGCAGTCACATAATGCCACTGATCAGTCACATAATGCCACTGCTCACCCAGGAATTCCGTGTCTCCTGGTGATGTGCCACGTTACTTGGCTGCCCTTCCCAAATTCAGACACCCTGAATGCTTCTGCTGATGTATCATTTCACCTTTTTAAAAGGGAGCTAAGCTTTGTTAAACATTTTTATTTAAATAATTAGCCTAGAATGATGGTGTAAGCCTGTAATTTGGATCGATGCAATAGAGCATGGAGCATTTGTGATGATTGATTTGATAGACACCAAGAAAAGTGGGAAACCCTGCCTTGGAACAGTAGCCTTTGCTTGAAAAGGCAGTGGAAAGCTGGTGGTGTGTTGTTTTGTGTTGTATTCTTAATTTAAAGACTATGTATGTAGCTACAAATGTAACTGGAATGGCCCTTGTGTGCTCAGCAGATCTCTGATCACTGTAATATCTGAGTTGAGGTTTGATTTCCTGCCACGTGTATTAAGCTGAAGAATTGTCTCACTGTTATTTTGATACAATCTCTCGTTATTTACAATATAATTTTAAAATCTCCATTAGGTTAAAGCAAGGGCAGGTACAGGTGTCCTGGCATAGAAGACATTTTGGGGTTATTGTAAGGACATTGTGTAGAAAAATCTCTCATGGATTTTATTGTTTGTCCTGCATTGCCCCACCAGACAATGACTCAGCAGTAAAAGTGGATTGATATTTAAATTTTATTGTCTTTTTAAAGGAAGAATTTGTCTCCTCTTTCTGTTTAAAGAGAGCTTAAAACACAGGGCCAAGTTGAAGAAGGAGACAAAGGTGAAGTGAGGGCAGGGGTTGGCTGACAGCTGGATTTGGGCTGAGATGTGTTTTCTTGGAGTGCCAATGGAAACAAAGATTTACCCTTTATCCCTGGCTATTTCTGGCAGAGACTCCAGCCCTGGTGTCCTCCAGACAGAATCAGGGTTTAACCACTTGTTGGCCTTTTCCTCAAGGACCTTTGTGAAACTTTCTCAAGTTTCTTTGTTCCTCAACTCCTCTGGGGTGTCCTCCTTGGGTGGGACAGTTCTCTGGTGCCCGTGAAGGCATCGCTCCAACTGTCCTGTATCTAATTAGTGCAAATTACAGAAAAAGCACATCCTAAGTGCCACAGTTTGATAATAATAAGGTCCCAAATTCTGTTTGTTAAGTAGGACAGGTTAAACTTAGTATTTCATCCTCTCTGCTACCTCTCTTTGCCTTAAGTATTCCTCTTGAGTCATCAAATGGTAGTTTGAGGTTTTGAGGCAGCAGCATGTTGGTGATGCACATCTGTAATTTCTGTACCAGTATAAAACACTCTGGAATAGGAATGTTAAAGGGGCAGGATCCTTGTCTGCTGGTTTTTAACACTTTTGGGTCTTGTGCTAATTATTTGTTGTAGATCCCAGACTCTACTCTCATCATCTAACAATAATTCAGATGTAAATATATTAAATCACCAGGTTAGTGCAAATAATGCTCAACTTGACTGAATTCATCTGTTAATAATTTTATTCCCTGCCACTGCACTCCTGTCCAGCACTGTGGACTGGAGAGTTGAGGTGTCACTGAGTAATTCTGGAAACTCTCCTCAAGCACAGATTGTTGGGAAAGCCCTGCCTGTCACTTGCTGTAACTTGCTTGGCCATTCCTGCTCCAGCAGAGGTATAAATCCAACTGGAATGCTCTGTGTAATTTGGGTTTATTTATGCTGACAGCAGTCACTCTGCAGCAATATGTTCCCCAGGAGGATGAGAGGCTGGATGGAGGTTGTGTCCTCCCCTCCAAGTGACAATGTGGTGCCACAGCCACAAGACATGTTCCAGTCTGACTGTACCATTGCAGGGCTGCAGTGAGTAAATGCTGCAAAATTCCTCAGTTCTTGCAGCTTGGAGCAGCTGCTGGTGGATATTTCGTGAAGGTTCTTAGTAATGATGATTGTGGGCACGGGGGGGAAACAAGTGCTGGGAATTACACCTTGAAAATGGTGAACCTCCAGCTGTGCAGCACTGCAGTTCAGCACAGCAGTGGATTCAGGATAGACAAAAGCTCACTTGGGAGTCTTATTAAAAGAGCTAAATGGAAAATTATGTCCTTCAGGGCGGATTTGTAGATGGGGAGATGTAGCTCATAAGCCAGGATTACATTCCAGAATGCACTTCAGATGTGGCTCAGGTTTATTGATCTCAGTGTGTGATCTCAGGGTGGGGAGTGGTGACTGTTACACCAAAGTATTTCAGTCTGTTATTTTTTTTCCTCTAACTTGGATTCTAAAATATACTTAGTAGGAGTCACCTTGAAGGGATCAGTTCAATGATTTTAAGTTTCTTTTAGTTGTCAGTAACTGGCTGGTTTGGGGTGACCATTCAGTGAGAAAGGTCAAACCATACAGCTGGTTTCTGTGCCCAGCCTGGGCTATCGAGGGGCCATTCTGACAACATTTACTAATTCACATCTCAACTTGGCCTCCTTTTTGCTTTCCACAGATGTAAACCTGGCACAAGTTTGAACCTGAAATGTTGGGTTCAAAGCATTTCAGGCTTGGCCAACTGATGTTTCCCAACAGCTGAGCTTTGTTGGAACATTTTCCTTTTCCTCCTGAGACGTTTGTGCTGTTCCTCCCCATGAAAAGCATCTGTCAGCTCCTCACATTTACTTGTGTGTTGTCACAGCAAATGCTGCCTCAGTGATGTTGGGGTGAGGTGTTTTGATTAAATCTTGAGACTTAAAGCTCTGGTGCATGTTCTGTATTGTTTTATGTGGGTAGAAAAGATGTCTTGGGTTTATTTTCTTATTTCTTTGATCTCTAGTTGTTTCACCACTGTTTGTGCACTTAGAATTACCTGATGCTACGTCATCCCATCTTAGAGTCCCCTCAAATTTCTCTAGAACTGATATGTTTAAAAAATACAAAGATTTAAATAATAACATCCTTTAAATAAAGGAAGCTTCCCATGCACATATCCCTGATTTATTTGAATATGAAGACAGGTGCCCTACACAATCTTACCTTAATTCAGACAACTTAGGAAGAATAGTGGTTACATACAGATTGTTTGGGACACTCCTTCAGAGGGAAAGAAATTCCAGAGAAGAAAGGAAATAAAATTTCCAGACTGAGGGAGGGGGGGGAAGGAAGAAATATCAGAGAAAGGAAATTCCACTGCAAAAAAACAAATAGAGCTTGGAGGTGATCACCTGGATATTCCCCAAACCAGGCAGAGAGTCTCATGTGAGGCTGTGCTGAACAGTGTGATAGATGTGGAGATAAAAAGATGGAAAACAAGCAGCCTTGCTTTTTCAGGGAGCAGAAAACCTCTTTTCCCAAAAGACCTTGTATATTAGAACAGAAAAATTTCGTTGCCATCAAAACAGCCGGTGCTCCAAGGTATGGGATGTGTCAGCTGAGCTGTGTTCTGTGGATACCTGTGGAAAAATACTTGTAGATTTGCTGCAACAATCAGCTGCAGCTTTCCTTGTGTTTTCCCCTCAATTTGAAGATGACATGTTCAGTAAATTGGCTGTTAAATTGAGTTGTAAACATCAGAAAAATAACTCCCAGGAGACATCAATGCCCCTGAGGGAAATATAACAATCATGGAGAAATTCACCTTGTCCTATTGTCTTAGGATTTCTCTTTCCTGAGATTCCAGAGGAGTCAAAGCCAATCAAAACCAAATCAAACTAAACGAATACACAAGCTGAAGTATTATAGCCCCAAGTGGGTGTTCTAGTGGGAGAGATCCTTTGATTTCTGTAGTTTACTGCTCAAAGATGATTAAGCTGAAGCTGCACATTGTCCTCTGCTGTCTTGAGAGTCTCTGAGGATAAATCTGTCTCCCTCAAATCCCCGTTTATCTGAGCCATATTCAGCAACATGTGCCTAATTTCCCTTTCACCAACAAGAAACTAATAATGCTTCATGTTAATGTGTGGAAATGTTGGTAGATGAAGTGGACATTTAAAAGAACTGTGTTCTGTGATGTGTAACTCATTATTCAGCTTTTCAATTGGTGCAATGATGTATAACTTTTACTGGATAAAAATATGGTGAAACCAGGGAAAAGTTATTAATGCAAAGAGTCATTCCAACAGCTCTGTATTAGGCATAATTTCCATTCCTAACATATGATGTATGTTCTGGAATCTGGATGTGATTGAGCTGTTAGAACATTAACTCTGGGCAGCCTGAGCTCGTATTTGGGGATTCTGTAACATAGGAAATGTTGATGTGGAAATCTGCACTTCCCTCCTTGCCCTCACCCAGCCTTTCCTGGGTCAATGACACAGTGCCAGGTTGATTTTCCTGCTGAAAATCAGGCTCCACTTTCAGCATTTGAACTTGTATGAATAAGAATTCCCGGGCAAGAAGTGCCGGTGGCAGTGCCGTGCTGGTGCTAAACCAGCTGGGGAAAGAACAACAGAAAAGCAATTCAGAAAACAAATGACTTTCAGGCTCAGCCAGTTTGGGTTTCCTGGTTGAGCTGCAGCCAGAGAACCTGTTTGCCCCGGTGTTGGGAACACTTGGGATGTCTTAAGAGCCCAATGCAAAGTTGATTTTAAAAACAAACAAACAA